AGGGGGGGGTGTGTCTCCTCCGGAGGAGGCGGGCGCCCCTTCCCCACCCTCCACAGGAGCCTCCGTGTCCCCGCAGAGGCGCCGAGTCGACGGGAAATGCTCCCGCCCGGCACCCCCTTCCCACTCTCCTGTGGCCGTGTCCAGGCCCCCCCGCCCCGGTCTCCTGCGCCCCCCCACCTGTCCTCCAGCCTCACACCCGTGCCCCACCCCAGGGGGGCCCCCCCCCGCTGCCGCCACGCCAGCCCCCCAGCCGGCGTCCGGGTCCTGCTGCCTCCCTCACCTTCACGTGCTCAGCGGCGTGAATACGCTTATTTTGTATTCAAGACTAACGCGGGGCGCTCGCTCTCCGCTCTCCGAGGGCCTCCCATCACCAGAAAGCGCCCGCAGCGAGAGCCGGCTGACAGCCGGACGCGGCTGCTTCTGAAGCGCAGGCCGGCCGGCGGGGCCGCAGACAAAGGGGACGCCGCGGGCCGGTTATTTATGAGCGATTAGGGGCGGGCTGTTGGCGCCGGCTCCCCACGCGGCACACACACACCTGTCAGGCACGGGGGGGGGGGGGCGGGGGGGGCCGGCCGCGTGCGTTTGAGCGCCACTTGGCTTTGAACATCGTTAGAACCGAGTGTCAGCTGAAACTTAAGGAAACATCCATCACCTCTTCGGACTCCTCTGAGTCCCGCTGGTGAGCAGGAGGCTCGGCCGCTCTGCCCCAGACGGAGACGGGAGTTTGCAAGCAGGGAGCTGACGACGCCCCAGACAGGGCGAGGCAGCACTGGGGGCCCCCGACGCGGTGCCAGGCTGGGGCCGGGCGGAGGTGGCCCTCCCACCCCGGGGACAGCCTCGGGGACGGGGCTTCCCCGGGGCCCTCTCTCCAGCCTTCGCTTTTCTGCAAATAGACCGAACACTCTGAGTCTGGACAGCGGCAGCCTGTCCCCAGGGTGTGGCCAGGGGCAGGGCCAGCGGCCCTGACTGTGCCCACCCGCCCAGCCGCCTGCTGACCGCAGACAGGCTGCCCCCGCCCCCACCTGGAGGAGGCAGCGGCGGGCCCCTTGCATTCCCCTCGCCGAGAACTCCTGGGAAGACGCCTATTGGGGCCGATTCAGGAAGCAGGTCCGTGAGGTGGCCCACGGGCCAGGTGGGGACCGGAGCAGGGCCAGGCCCCCCCCCACCCCCAGGGGCCACCTGCTTCCCGAGCCCCACCGCCCCAGACAATGGAGGGTCGCAGGGACAGAAACTGGCCCGATGCCTCCTGCCGCCCAACACCCCGGCACCATGCAGACAGAATGCGGAAGACCAGGGCGTCTGTGGGGGGGCGGGGGGGTGGTGGACGCCCGCCCTGGGCACAGGCACCCCTCCCCCACCCCCACCGGGTGGAGGGCAGTGCTGGGCTGCCCAGAGACTCGGCCCTGACCACCCCTGGCGGGGGGGGAGGGACGGGGTCCCGTGCGGGTGGCAGCGGGGAGCCACACTGCTGTGGTCGAACCGCATCTCCCCACCCGTGTGTGCGGAGGTGCCCAGGACCCCAGGGTGCGCCTGTGCTCGGAGGTGCACCCCTCAGAGGTGATGAGGACGACCCAGTGGGACCGTGTCCTCGTCCAAAGAGGAGACGAGGTCCCAGACACACACACGGGGACGGCATGCTGGCGTCCCCAGCCCTAGGCCCTTCCGGACCACGGCCCCTGCCACCGAGGGGGCTCCCCTGGCGCTGTTCTCCCACCAGCCTGTCCTGGACCCGCCCACACACCCGCTCCAGAGCCCCCCACCCCGCCCCCCTGGGGTCAGGGAGCCTGCTCGTCAGCCCCGTCGGTCCTGCTCTTCCCTGTCCGAGTCCCCTCTGCCACCCTCCCTGGGGTCCGAGCCCCCTCTGCCACCCCCCATGGGGTTCGAGCGCTGGGCCGTTCCCTTCTCTGGCAGGAGCGGGGCTGTGACACGGAGGGGACCCCGAGGTCTCTGCAGGAGCCAGCACAGCTGCCTGCGGGGCAGGGTCTGCCTACCGGGCTTCGGCCGATTTCAAGGGCCCCTGAGCCCCCCACCACCAGGACCGTGAGGCAAGGGGACCCGCTGGCAGGCAGCGTCCTGGGTGGGGTCCTGGACGAGCAGCTGCCAGCTCAGGGTGGGCCCAGACGCGCAGCCCAGTGGGGGTGGAGGGCTCAGGGACAGCACCGCGGTGGGGGGGACTTCCGTCCTGCCTCCAGCCTTGGGGAGGCGCACGCAGCTTCCGGACCCCCCCCCGCCGGCAAGACCCACGACTGGGGCGGTGACCCCACATGACTCCGGCACGGCCTCCGGGCTCAGCGTGGCTGCCAGCTGGACTCCAGGAGGGACCTCCGGGGACCTCGGCCCGGGAAGGCCGGGGCCCCACAGCGGAGGACACAGAGGCCCGGCCCGCCTGCCTGCTCCCCCCACAAAGCTGCTTTGAAAGCTGGGGGTGTCTTTTGAATTCCAAAGGCCGAAGGGCCGAGCTCGCCTCTAATGGAAATGCACGTCCTTTAATTAAAGGCGCCGTGACACATGGAGGACATTCACTGAAATACGACGCGAGACACGCTCATTTCCCCGCCGCTAATTACTAATTAATGAACCCATTTCAATTAATAGCTTCCCCTCCCCCCGAGACAGCCAGGTGCCGGGCGGGAGGATTCCGCCCCCGTAGCCTGCGGCCACCGCGCTGAATATTCATGCCGGTGGCTGCCACGCTTCTCGATTAAACGTGCCGGTGAATCCCGGTGGGGTCGGCCGCAAGTGTCCCCCAAGCACAGCCCCGACCCCGGCCCCCCCTCACAGCAGCCAGCTGGGGCGGACGGGCTCTGCCACAGACAGTGGGGACGGGCCGTGGCCCCGTCCCCGGAGGTGCCCCAACCCAGGGCATCGGCACCTCCAGGGCCCCCCCACCCCGTGCGTCCTACCAGTGGGGGCGGGGGGGTAGCCATTACCCTGCTAATTATGAGTAACGAGTGGTCATTAAAGACGCTGCCCTAAGGTAAGGACAGGAAAGTGTCCCTGTGGTGACAGGGAGGGGGCAATGCGGCCTGGGGGAGGGCACCCAGGGAGGCCCCCATGGGTGGGGGGGGAGCCAGGACAGGGCCCAGCACTGGAGTCGGCAGGGTGTCGGCCAGGACCCACTCTGCACCCAGCCACCCCTTTCTGGCACCCCCTGCCCAGGTGAGGGGCAGCCCTGCCCCGAGGACCCCTCTCCCTGGGGAGGGGATGGAGGGGACCACCCCAGGCCTGGCCCTCCCTGTGTCCCTCTCCTCACGGTGGGTGTCTAGCCTCCAGCCCTCCCTCCCCCCACATGGTGCTCTGAGCTGGCACACCTCCCACCGCCCCTGCCCCCCGAGGGGCTGGGGGCACCAGCCCCCACTGGCAGGGGCAGCTCCAGGGGTCCTGGAAGAGCCCGGGGCTTGGGGGGCGCTGGGGCGGGAGCGGACACAGCCCTGCCATGGCGCCCTCTGCTGGCCAGCCGCGGGACGACAGAGGCTTTGCCCTCCTGAGGGGCCTCCTGGCTGTGGGCTTGGGGGTGGCGGAGCCCCTCCCCCTGTGGGGAGCGACGGGACAGGCACGGCTGGGTTTGCCGCCGGGGCCCTGCTGCTCCACCTGCCGTCACCGCCGGCACTCAGGGTCCCCATTGGCCTCTGGGGTCCCGCCAGGGCAGCTGGGAGAGGGTGTGTCACAGCCTGACGGGCGCTGATAATGCCAGGCCCCCCCACACCTGTGGGAACGCCCCAGAGCCGGAACCAGCAACCAGCGCCCTCCCTGCCGGCACACCCTCCTCCAGACACCCGCCCGGGGCTCACCATGGCCCGGGAAGGGCCAGGGAGGCTGCCCCCCATCCATCCAGGGCGACGTTCTGGACCTGTATCCTGTCCCGGGCCCCACACCCCACGGACATGGAGGCCAGGCCCTCAGTGTCCCCACGCGTGTCTTTGGTCCCTCCTCTGCACGGAGCCCCCGGTCACCTCCAGGGCCAGAATCCCCGTGGGATTCCACGGAGGGGGGCTGCCTCGCTCGAAGAGCTTACAGTCCATGGTGGGGGGCAACAGGGCGGCCCCTCGCACCCCCAGGTCACAGCTGCCTCGTCCGCAGCAGCCGGGCAGGGGCGGCGTCCGTGCCCACAGGCGAGCGGACGAGCCCAGCGCGGCCCCCCCGACGGCAGGCTGTGTCCACCCTCCCGAGGGAAGGAAGTCCCGACCCCGGCCGCAGCATGGATGACGCTCAGTGACCGGTCACTAAGGGACGCGTACCGTGTGGCCCCCTGAAGTGAGGTGCTGAGAGCCACCGGAGTCAGAGGGCAGAGTGGGGTGGGGGTGCCCGTGCCCAGCGGGGGCTCAGTGTTGACTGGGGACAGGGTGTCCATTGGGACGATGGATGGAAGGCTCTAGAGACGGGTGGGGTGGGGGTGGCGGCACCCCTGCCGCTGAGCTGCCCACTCCCACGTGGTCACGGGGGCGGTCCGCCTGCCCGAGTCCCGGGCGGTGTCCTGGGCTGGGCTCCCAGCTCGGGCAGCGGTCCCCAGAGCCGCCCCTGAGGCCGCTCACGCTGCCCCGGGCGGGCAGACAGAAGGCCTGTCCGGGGACGCACGGCCCCCTGCACTTCCGCACACGGGCCCGGGCTCCGGAGGCCGGACTCACTGCGCAGCCCAGAATCTCCCTTCCTGGGCCTTTCTCACCCAAGTGGGGGCACCGCAGGGGGGGTCTGGGCTTCACTGGAGACGAGGGGCTGCCCCGTCTGGGTTGTGCGACCGGCGGGCGGGACTCGGGGCCCTGCAGGGGGCTGATAGCAGGCCCCTCCCTCACCCCGCCCGTGCCCCACCGTCCGCTGCCGGCGGGCAAGCCCGTGCCAGCTGGGTGTGCCCAGTGCTGGGAGCCTGGTGCCGCCGCGTCCCCACTCAGCGTCCCGTCTGTAACTCCTTGGGCCTGTCGGTGACCCTCGGCTGGACTCCTGGGGAATGAATCCGATACATCTTTAACAAGTGTCTGCTCTTTAAAACAGGTGTCACAAACGTATCCAGTCTTCTCTTCAATAGTTTAATGGGCATCACTTAAATAAGGCTTCGGGGTGGTTTTCCACGTTCTTTTCTCCCCAGCTGCACCCGGCCACACCTGCCGTCAGTTCGGGAGGGACGGCTCCTCTGTGTGAACGGGGAGGAGGCAGGTCGCCTGGTCCTGGGGAACGTCGTGGGCAGGGGGGTCCCCAGCGCCAGGGACGCAGAGCACACTGCCTGTGTCTAGGGATCCCCGGGAGGGGGTGCCGGGGGTGGGGTCCCCAAAGACGGCCACAGGGCTGGTGGTATCGGGAGACGGCGTTGGGGGCGGGGTAGCCCTGAGCACCCCACAGCACACAGCACGGGCCGCCACAGAGAACCACCGGGCCCAGAAACAGAGGGTCGCAGGTCGGGGAGACGGCCACCCAGGATCTCCGGGATGGGCACCGTGTGGGCGGGGGGGCCGACCTCCGGGACGCGCCTGACACTGTGTCGGGGCCAAGTCCGGAAGGGGCGCCGACCCCAATCCCCGGGGGCAGCTCCCCGGGGGACGCTGGGCAGAGGGGAAGCCGAGGCCCGACCAGGCCCAGGCGCCGGTGCCGACCGCCCCACCCCGGCTCCGCTGAGGCTCAGCCCCTCTGTCACGGGCCACAAGAGGAAGAGGCTCTGACACGGAGCCCTTCACCCTGAGGCCGACGGTGCCGGTGTGTGCGGGCCGGCCGGGGCGCGGCTAGAGGTCCTGGTGGGCGGGGCCCAGGTCCACCCTCTGGGCCTTCCCGAACAGCAGGAAGCTGCACAGCCCCAGGCTGCTGATGGCAGCCACCAGGTGGAACAGGGACGCCCAGGAGCCGGTGGTCTCGATCAGGTAGCCCCCCAGGCCCACGCCCACGACACCTGCAGCCGGGAGAGGGGACAGGCGGGCTGAGGGCCAGGCAGTCGCCAGGGCAGTCTGTGGGGAGGGGCTGGCCTGGGGGGCCGGGACCAGAGGCCAGCCTCAGTCTTGGAAGGACAGAGACCCCCCTGACCAGCCAGGACGCCACCACCGCCACATCCCCCTGTGCTCTCTCCACAGGGGACAGGGACCATGGGAGGGGCCTGGCTGGGGAGTGAGGCTGACACTCATCCAGGCACCCGGGCACTGGACCTCGGGGCCCCGGGCCATGAGGACCTGAGTCACACTCCTGGGTCGGCTGGGAGGGGAAGGTGAGCTCTGCTCTCTGCCTGGACCAGCTCTGAGGTCTGCGTGCCCCCCCGCCTGACGTCACCCTGGTGGACCCCGGGAGGGTGCCATACCCCACCCTGCAGAGCCAGAGGGCAGTGGGAGGCACCCCAGCACCTCGGGCAGGGGACCCCAGCCCGCCCCTCACCTGCCAAGGCTCCAGCTGTGTTGGCCACACCTGTGAACCAGGCAGAGCGAAGGCAGACCCGTCAGAGGCAGCCCCTGGCGACCCTCCCATGGCGTCCCACCTGCGAGCGGCCCCCGTGGCCTTGGGGGTGGGGACGCGGCCTGGTGAGCAGGCCCAGGTGGGGGGGGTGTAGTGGGCAGCCGCTCCCTGGGCACCCCCAGGCCCGGGTCCTTACCAAAGAGGACGCCCGCGCAGGACGGCGCCAGGTCCTGGATGTTCACAGAAATGCCGCTGTGGGGAAGAGGGAAGGACAGGGCAGGTGACCCCGGGGTGGCTGACCCCCACCCACGAGACCAGCGACAGTCCTCCAAGCACCCGGGGCCCGTCGAGGGGGCGCTGCAGACCGAGCCCCCCCGGGTGCTCAGCCACACTGGCCCCCCCCTGCCCCCCTACCCCGGCTCTCCCGTCTCAGTGGTGACGCAGCTCGGGGACCCTCTCCCGGGCGGGGGAGCACACGGGAAGGCAAGCGGCCTCCAGTGCACCCTCCCTTCCTGCCCACACATTTCTCTTTAAAAACCTTCAGTGGCCAATTCCCAAAACGACTCCCCGTGAGGTTTCTCTGAGGAAACGGGGCGGAGGCTGGGCGCTGGGGCGGGAGGGCACCGGGAGCCCCGGACAGACGCCGGCCGCGCCAGCGCGTCGAGGTCCAGACAGAAGCCGCGGCCCCGAGATCGGCCCGTCCTCCGCGGCCCACGTCCAGGCCGGCTGATGCTCCGACACCCTTTGCCTCCGGGCTCACGAGCGCGGGGGGGCCAGCCGCACGCCCACCCTCCGAGGGCCGGGAGCACCCGGGGCTTGCAGCGCCGCGGGCACCCAAGGGCAGTCGGGGGCCCCGGCGGGCAGGGCTCCGGCGGGGGGCGGGGGGCGCCCACCTGTGGTTGAAGGTCTGGAGGCCGATGGAGGCCGAGGCGAAGAACAGGGACTTGCAGAAGCTCGAGGTGTGGCCCAGGCACAGGGCGAAGACGCTGGACAGGCCGAGGCCCACCACCTGTGGGGCGGGCACTGCATCACCGGCGTTGGGCGGGAGCCGCGCCCGCCCACAGGCCTTCCCCTGCCCGGGGCCTGCTGGGGGGCGTGTGGGGTATGGGGCAGGAGAAGCCGCCCCCTGCTGGTCGGACCTGCAGACCCCGCTGGGCGGGAGTGAGCCCAGAAGTGGGTGCGGGGCCCCGAGGGCCACGGGGAGCCCCCCGACTGCCCGGGGACGCCGGCCACCTTCGGGATCAGGGGACTTGGGGACACGGCCCTGGGCCCCAGGAGCGCACGGGTGTCGGGACAGCGCCACCCCACGCTCCTACCTGCATGAACTTCCGCACGGCGATGGTTCTGTAACCTGGACAAGGGGGAGACGGGCACAGGTCCCCACCGGCCCGATGGTGCCAGCTGCCCCCTCCCCACGGCGGCACCCACACTGGGGAGCCCCGGCGGGGCTGCCCGGGGGCGGGGGCGGGGCAGCAGAGGGCGGGCCCCAGGCTCCCGCTGAGGTGTCCGGTGTCCTGGGAGCGGCAGGTGCATCTGCCCCGGGTCGGTCCGTGCTCACAGGGCCCCAGGCCCCGGGGGGGGGGGGCAGAGCGTGCGAGGGAGGCCGTTCTGACGGCCACAGACACGCGCTGGGGGCCTGGGCTCTCACCCGACTGCGACCTCTGACCCCGCCAGGGGCCACTCCCACGTTTGGAGAGGGCTAGGGGCTGCATCCAGGCCTTGGGAGGTAACTCCCCCATCACAGGGGACTCGGAACCTCTCACTGCACCCCAAGGCCACCCTTAGTGGGGAAACTGAGGCTGGGGGAGTCCCCCGCCGAGTGGGCTCCCACGAGCCCCCTGCACTGGGTCCAAAGGGCTGGGCGTCTCCCTCCCCCAGCTTGGTCTCTGGGGGGCGTGGCCTCTTCCCATCCCTGCAGCTGCCACGGGAAGGGTGCCCCCCATCCCTCAAGGTGAGGTGAGACCCCCACGTGGCCCCGGCGTGGCCCGTCCCCGGGGCTCACCCTGGCTGATGAGGTGGTCAGAGAGAAGCCCGCTGAACAGGCTGGCCGGCACTGCCGCCAACCAGGGCACCACGTTGAAGGCCCAGCCCTGAGGGAGCGAGGACGGTCTCAGCAGCGCCCCCTGGTCCCGGGACGGGCCCCCCTCCCCCTCCCCGTCCCCCCAGGGCCGGCCCCCGGTCCTGGGACGGGCCCCCCTCCCCCCGCCCCGCCTTCCCGGCAGGCCCAGGCCCAGCGAGGCCAGGACGCGGGCCTGCGGGTGTCGCGGGGCGGCCCGCACCTGGGAGCCGGGGAAGGTCTCCCTGAAGAAGGTGGGCAGCCAGGACAGCAGGACAAAGAAGGAGCAAGCCGAGGAGAGCTGGGAGAAGATGGCCGCCCTGAGGGGGGGGGGCGGGCGCCGGTCAGGGCCACCGTCCCCAGCAGCCGCGCGGCCCAGGCTCTGGGGTCAGTTCCCCCACCCGCCCCCCGAGGTGGCCCCACGGGGCCGGCTCACCAGACGGAAGGCTTCCGGAAGAGCTGTCTCCAGGGCACCCTGGCTTGCCTGGACACGGGCAGGCCTCGCGCCAAAGCGTCCAAGGCCCGGACGAGGTCTGGGGGGGGAGGGGGGCCCGTGTGAGCGCCGCTCGGGACCAGGGGGGAGGGACCGGCTCCCTCGGCCCAGCAGCCCACCCCACCCTGCCCCGCTGCGTCCGGCGCCTTCAAGGGTCCACGTTTGTGTCGGGACAGAACAGACACTCTCGGCCTTCTCCCTCCCCGCGCCCCGAGTGCCCCTGCCACCACCCGACCCACCTCCGCCCCGTCCCTAGCCGGCCTCTCGGCATGAAACGTGGCGGGAACCACGGCCCAGAGCCCAGCACGGGCTTGTCCACCGGTCTGGCGCTGAGCCGCAGCCCCCGGGCCCCTGGACCCCCGGGCCCCCGCGCCGGGGCTGCTCTGTGACTTCCGGGGTCGGCGGCGGCTGGAAGGGTCCGGGGTCATCCAGGCCCTCGGCCTCCTGGGCAGCGCATTTGCCTGCCCGGCCGCGGTTACCTTGTTGGCTCAGCAGGTACCTGTACACGTAACACGCCCACAGCAGGGTGAGGCCGCCGGAGAGGTAGAAGACGCTCGGCCAGCCGAGCCAGTCCAGGAGTAGGGAGCCCACCGCCCCCGTCACCAGCGTCCTACGGCGACAGAGGACCCTGGCCGTGACCCTCGGCCGCACCCAGGCAAGGAGGCAGCGGGACGCCCCTTCCCCCTGCGCCCCTCCCCCAGATCCACTGGCACCAATGAACAGAGGTCCGTGGCGTGACAGGCCGCTGCCCCCTGCTGCCCGCACCTTTGCACAGCGGCGGGGAGCGGCAGCCCCCACCGCCGCAGAGCACGGAACCAGCCAGACCCACGTCACCCTGAGCTGCAGACGCCCCCACGTGGCCGCCCCCCACCTGGGGGGCTCTGCCAGGACCACGCGCCCTGCCTCCCCCGGGCCCCCGAGGCTGGCACTCACCCGACCTGGGAGCCGGCCCCCACGGCGCTGTAGGTGAAGGCACGCTCGCTCTCCCGGACCCTCTGGGACAGCAGGCTGGTCAGCGCGGGGAAGTACACCCCTGGGGGGCAGGCAGAGGGCTCAGGGGGCCGCACGGGGTGGGGCCCCCGGGTCTGCGGGTCCTTGGGCGCAGGCAGCCGGCGGAGGGCGACAGCCAGGCGGGAAAGCGCCCCATCGGCGGCCATTTGGCCTGCGGTGCTCTTCCCACTCAGGTCACCCAAGGGACCGGCAGTGACACCCGGCTACAGAGCCGCTCAGCCTGGGTCCCAGCTACCGCTGTCACCCCGGCTTCCGGGCCACAGCAGCTCTGGGGTCCCAGCACACGCGTGTGACATGCCCACATGCACACGCTCTCCCACATGCCCACGGCACACACACGCCGGTGAGCCCTGAGGGGTCTGCGGGACCACCGAGCCGGGTGCTGGGCGAGACGCTGCCCTGTGTCCACGGGACGTGTCCCCACAGGGAGGCGGGGGCGGGCAGAGAGCTTCCCTGGGTGTTTCTCGGCAGCTGCTGGGGACCTGTCACTGTTGCAACATCTAGTCTTAGAGGAACTGCTCTGGGGACTTCCGCTCTCGCCTGCGATGCTGCGCTTTTCTCCAGAAGCTCCTGGGGAGTCAGGGGCGGGGGGCCGGGGCGGCACTGGCCCCTGCCTTCCCCTCAGGGCCCTGGACCTTGGGCGCAGAGTGCCGGCCCCCCAGGGCGACGGCAGCACCCGGGGGCCCCGTCTGTCCCTCACAACGGGCCACAGAGCAGCCCCACAGAAAAGCCCTCTCGCCGCCCAGGAGGACGGGGAGAAGCAGCCTGGGCCCTCGGACCTCGTCTGCGGGACCAGGAGCACCAGCCACGGCCACGTGGGGACCTCGTGGGGAGGGCTCACAGGGGCACAGAGGTCGGTCCTCCAGGACCACCCCCGGGCCGGACCAGTGGGGCTGGTCAGAAAACAGGCGCAGGCCCATTCTGGGAGCCCTGGGGGCCCCAGGATCTGAGGGGGTCACCCGAGGTCTCTCCCATAGCCGGTGGGGTGACGCGGTGAGGAAGGGTCGGGACCCACGCACTCGGATCGAGTCCGGGAGACGGTCGCTGTCCGGCGCCAGGCTGCGGCAGGCAGGGGCTCCGAGCCCATCCGGTCCCTGGAGGGAGGTGGGTGCCAACTGCCACTGGCTCGCCCGGGGCCACAGGGGTCTCGCAGGGGCTATCCCCAGAAGCCTAATGTCCCTGCTGTGCCCGTCCGCCTGCTGGTGCTGACTGACGGTCACCACACAGCAACCCGGCGGCCACCCGGGTGCCCGGAGCAGCCTTGCCGGCACGGAGGGCACCCGGCATCAGAACACGCCAGACTGTGAGACGCTTCTGGAAACGGAAGTTGCTCAGGTGCCGAGGCTTTGTCAGGCCGAGTTGCCCACCCACCACACACGGGCACACACGGGCACACATGAAGCACCGGCCTGCAGGAACACGCACCCGCGTACACACGTGTGCTCACACGCCCGGGACCTAGGGCCGGCAGCAGGAGGGAAGCCCCCAGGGGCGTGCCTACCTTGCAGCAGGCCCGTGAGGATGCGCGAGAAGGTCATGAAGAGCAGGTGGGCGCTGCCCAGGCGTGCGAGCAGCGGGGTGGCGGCCGTGATGAGGCCCCAGGCCGAGGCTGACAGCAGGATGACCTTCTCACCCCCGATCCTGGGGGGGGAAGGGGGCTGAGCTGCCGACCAGCGATCCTGCCGCAGGGACGCCCACCCGGGTGGGGGCCCTGGGCCGTCCCTCCTCAGAGCAGCCCTAGGTGGAGGCCAAGCTGGAGAGCCCAGGGCACCCCCTGTCTGTCTGCCCCCACGCCCTCAGGGTGCCCACCAGGGTGCCGAGCTCCGAAGTGGAGCCGTGCACCCCCACCCCACCCCACCCCCCGGACGCCGGGTCCCCCAGCTCCGGCCTCCTCTGGGGGGGCTGTCCCCACAGGAACTTCCCAGGAGGCCACCCCCAGAGCACCCCGGCCCGGCCCGGGGAGCGGGGGGGCGGTGGCGGTTACCGGTCCCCCAGGTGGCCGCCGGCGACCTGGGTCAGGCAGTAGCCCCAGAAGAAGCTGCTGAGCACGATCCCGGCTTCCTTCTTGTTCCAGCCGAAGTCCTGGCTCATGGACGCAGTGCAGATGGGCATGCTGACCCGCGCGCAGTACAGCAGGCAGGTGCCCAGCAGCAGCGTCCCCGTCCACGCCTGGCACTCGGGCCTGCGGGGCGCGGGGCGCCGGTCAGGCCTGGGCAGGCAGAGCCCGGCGGAGGTGCCGGGCCACCTCCCAGGCGTTCCGGTGCCCCCTGCTGACTCCCAGGGGCACGGAGACAGGCTCCGGGAACAGCAGGGGTTCGGGGCAGCCCATGTGGCCGGCCGCAGGGCCGCTGAGTCGGCCATGGCTGGGGTGCTGGCAGCGGTGGACGGAGGGGTCCCAGAAGGCGCCCGGGTGGGAGCTGACGGCTGGAAACCCACAAAAGGGGCGGCGGGCTGGGCAAGAGGACCCGGCTGAGGCAGAGGGGGAGGGTCCCCTGTAGCAGGAACTGGGGTGGGCGGCGCAGGGTGGACACCGGGCTGTGGGGCCCCAGGAGGGACCCGGGTGGGGGGCAGGCAGCCCCCCACTGCTGGGAAGGTCACCAGACAACTGTGCACAGAGGGAGCACCCACAGAACTCCTTGCCAGCGCTCTTGGACTGTGTCACCAGAGCCGAGGGCGGCCAGAAAGCACTGCCACCGCCCGGGGACCTGCTGTGAGGGCTGGAGCAGCTGCAGCCCCTGAGCGCTCCAAGGGCTCCGGTTTGCAGCTGTGCCGGCACCAGCCCCTTGCCGGGGACTGAGGCAGGACCCTGGTCTCAGGCGTGGCAGACAGGGGACCAGCGTGGAGCCCACGGGACACTGAGCCACCACCACAGGGGCGCTGCTGCCACTCCACAACTTTCCCAAAAAACAATGCTCACCGTGCACAGGTGGGAGGTGGGGACCAGGGAAGGGAGCCGCCCTGCTGACTTTCATGGGGAGGAGGGCATCTCTGAAAGGGGCTGGGGGCGACCACTCAGGGCCGTGGCCAGGCCCGGAAGCAGCCTACTGGGGGCTTGGGGTCCCGGCTGCCCCTGGACCCGCCCACCTGTCCTCCCCGGGAATGAGACGCTGCAGGGAGACCTCAGGCTGTGGGAGAGGCCCGGCTGGGCACAGGGCGCGTTCCTGCCCTGGGAGGTCGCTGGGGAGGAGAGGGTCAAAGGCGAGAGGCCAGGGTGCTGGACAGAGGGCCCGGGGGACATCAAAGCCACCCAGGAGAATGGCAGGACTCGGCGGGGAGAGGAAGGCGGGGCAGCGAGCCAGGAGCCCCCGCCCAGCCCTGGGCCTCAGTTTCCCCGTGTGCACAGGGAAGAGGCTGCACTGGGCCTTGGATTTCAGGCTGAGTCTCTGGGTGCTCAGCAGGGTCCCCTAGGTGGGGCTCCAGGGCACCCCCGCCACTACCCGCCTCACATGTCGGAACGTCCTCTCGACTCCCGTCCCCGCAGTTCGGTGAGGCGGGGGCCCCGCCTGGCCACCCCTCTGCGGGGGCCAAGGCTGGGCTGCCCCTGGAAAGGGCCTCGGGGCCCACTGGGCACCTGCTAGGAAGGGGCCCCGACTGCCACGCCCCCACCCTACTTCCTGGTTCCAAAAACGCTCCTCTGAGCCCAGATGCCCGGACAGCCCCACGGTGGCAGAGGGACGGGCCCCGGGGGTCCCCCTGCCTGAGAGGCAGGGGTGGAGGGCCGGGCTCCCACGGGCCTTCACAGGGCAAAGGTGGGGAGGTGGTGGGGACAGGGCCAGGCATCCACCAGGCCCTGGCCCCGCCCCCACAGTGTGTGCCTGGCCCCTGTCTTCGTCTCTGACGTGGAACCCGGGGGTCTCCAGGGGCCACGGGCCCCTCTGGGGTTCCAGCCAATCACGGGGATCATGCCCAGGGCTTCTCCCCGAGACCGGACAGAGCTTGCCCGGAGATCGTGGCCCACCCTCTGGCGCCCAGCGCTCTGCCCCAGGCCTCCAGGACTGGCTGGGACTTTGCTCCCTCTGCGCAAACAGTCCCGCTGGACTTCCCGGGGACACACGGAGCCCGGCCGCCCCAGCTGCCACCTGAGGTGGCTGGTGGAGGGCCCCACGCCCGTGCCTGGTCCCCAGCAGGGCGGAGGCCCCCAGACATGTGTCCAGGGGGGCCCACACAGGCCCACAGTTCTGCTTTTCACGGCCAGACACATGAGGGCAGCGGAGGGCGTGGGAGCAAGGCTGTCTCCCCGCCCCCAAACAGCCACCGTCCAAAGGGGCGTCATTCCTTTAGGGGGTCAGGGCAGCGCAGGCTCACCCCCCACAGGTGCAGCTTCACCGCCACCCCGGGGAGCCTGGCTCTGAAGGGCCCTCCGCTTTCCCGGGGCCCCGTCCCTACGCTGGCGGGCAGTGGCGGGCAGTGGTGGCCAGGCGAGCAAAGGGCCGTCCTCTGCAGCTGCGGGGACACAGGAGGAGCAGGAGGTCTGGCTGGAGGTGTGACCCCGACGCAGCCAGCTGGCTGGGATGCCAGGTGCAGGGCGCTCGTTCCCACGGCGGGAGAGGCTTCCGAGGTCCCTCCCGCCTGCCTGGGCGCGCCCGGAGCCTCCGGCCCGCCCCCTGCCCGTCAAGACGCCCCCCGGGAAGCTCCTAGAACCCTGGGCTTCCTGCCACAGCCCTTGCGCCAGAAGCCCGCCCCCCGCCGAGCAGCCACGTGGTCACATGGCCCCTCGGTTCAGAAAAGGGAACTATGGTGCAGGCGCCGAGGGCCGGGCGGGCGGCGAGCCCAGAGGACGTGCGGGTCCTGGGCTGCTGGCCGCCCCGCACCCGGCACGTGGCCGGAGGGCCGAGCCGGAGCACAGGCGGGCAGTCGGGGCAGGGCGCACAGGGCGATAGGTACACAGTAGCAGCGATTATTGTTACCCACTCAGGGGAGAGAGCAACCTTCTCCCCCACTGAACACAGCTCTGCACAGCACCCAAGGGCCCCTCCGGGATGCCCGCCGGCCCTGCCTGTCACCGTCCTGGGGCTCAAGTGCCACTTTCGCACTGTGTGTGGGGTGGGGGGAAGCCGTTGTGGTGCTCAGGCCGTTACCCCAGCGCCCGAGAGGAAGTTTGCAGACTGTTCCCTGGCCCTGGGCCACCACCCTCTGCCCGCCGGCTGCCACCTGGCCCCAGAGAGAGGCCCCACCTTGACAGCAAGCAGGGTGCAGGGGAGGAAGCGAGGGACCAGCTGGCTGAGGGCACCCACGCCTGGTCCGGGCGCACCTCTGATAGCCCCTAGTCTAACCGGGGATGCGGCCAGGGCTGTGAGGGGGGCTCTGTGGTCGGTCTCCCTGTGCCAGCCCGCTCCTCCCTGCTCCCCGGGCCCCGTTGTCACCCCAACACGGGGTGCTGGGGGCAGGGGCAGGCAGGAAGGTGCCATCGTTCCACAGGCGGCAGGGAGGCCCCGCCGGCGTCTCCCCTGGGGACCAAAGTGGGAGGTGGACAGCTCTGGAACTGTCAGGCCCAGGGTCCGGCCGGCTCGGCCTTGGCCCACAGAGCCAGGGCGGGGGCTGAGCCGTGCGCGGGGCTCCCCGGGGCTCCGGTCTGGTCCCCGGCTGCAGGCGGCCGTGGACGCAGGCGTGGAAAGCAGTGGGGCGCCCGCCTGGGCCCTCCCTCTCCCTGGGGACCGTGCTCACGTCACAGAGCAGGCGGTGGCAGGGCTCCGCTGCCCCGTGAGAGGCCCCCGCCAGTCCCTGACCGCCCCACGGGGTGGCTCTGAAGTGCCCTCCGTGTTCTCAGGGGCGGTCCCACTGTGCGGCCCCACCTGGCAGGGTCAGTGCCAGGCCTGGAGGCCATGCCAGCGGGCGGTCCCTCCTCCCCAACCGGATGGAGGATGCTCGGGCCCCAGGCAGGCCTCCCAGAATGCCGCCCTGCCTGCACGACCTCCCCGCTCCAACGGCCTGGACAGGGCTCAGGGGCACTCGGCCCTGGGGCTGCGCGGGAGGCTGGAGGCACTCGTGGGCTCCTTCGCCCGGGGGGTGGCTGCGCCCCAGGACGAGCAAACAAGTCCCTGCTGGGGGACTTGCGCAGGGGATGCGCCGCCCCCGCCCCCGACCCCTCCCCTGACCCCTGTGCGGCTGCACCTGGACCAGTGGGCGTCCTCCGCCGCCTCCCCGCGGGCCTGGTCTGGGGGCGGCCGCGTCGGCTGCATCGGGCGCAGCGAGTCCGGAGCCGGCTCCCGCCAGCAGGCCCGCGCGGGCAGCGCCGCCCAAGTCCACGTGTCAGTCCCAGCGGCGCTTCCGTCCGGCGCTCCCAGGACGTGTCGCCCCGGACGGTCGGCCACCGCGGCGGCGGCGCGGGGCGGAGGAGCAGGCGGGGCGCCCCTCTTGGTCCCCGCCCTGGGCTGGGGCCGGGCACGCCCCCGCGGTCCGGCGCTCCGCCCGGCCTCCTCACAGCTCCCGGAGCGCGGCCGGCTGCCTTGGGCTCCCACCGCATCCCGCACCCTGCTCCCCTGCTCCCCGCCCCCACGGTGGTAGCTCCGGGCGGATGGGGCTTTGGAGGTGCCGCGCCGGTAGCCTTCCGGGTCCCAGACGCGGGCCTGGGACGCGTTGTGGAGCCGGGCAGCCTGCGGCCCCGTGTGTAGGTGCCCCCCGCCCCGCAGGGCCGTGCACTCATCCGAGGAAAGTCACGGCAGTCTCACCGGGAGCAAGGACACACTCCAGTGTGACGGTTCATTTTCAAACAGAATTTGGGGGGCGGCTCCAGCCTGTGACCTTGAGCCAGGTGCCAGGGCTGGGCCCCTTGGTGCCCCCCCATCAGGCGCGAGCTGGCTGGGCCCAAGCCGGGGCCCCAGGGCCTCACGCCTGCGTGGTGGACACAGCCGGCTCGGGAGGGTGGGGACGCTGGCACCCGTGGCAGGGGCCTATTGAGGAGGTGCCCAGGCCTGGGGCCGCAGAGGCCAGTGGAGAGAGGAGACCGTGAAGGTGGCGGGGGCAGTGCCGGCCCCACAGGCCTGGGAGGCCGGGGCGGGGAGACCCGCAGTAGGACGGTGGCCATGGACGACGTGCCGGGGCCCCCAGGGTGCAGGCGGGGAGGACAGACCAGGCTGCTGCTGTCCCGGGGCGAGGACAGGGGCCCTGCGGCCAGGTGGAGCCGAGCGCCAGGCCCCAGCCGGCGGGGTGTGTGACAGAGGGAGGGCCCAGCGGAGCACCTGGCACCTCTGGAGACCCCGAGCGGGGCGGGGCCTCCCGTCCTGAGGCGGGAGGTTGGGGCGGCAGCCAGACCAAGTGTCACAGCCCAGAGGGGGCCTGCAAACAGCAGGTGCTGGTGTGGTGGGGGGCACCTGCTCCCCCCCCCCGCCCCCGCCCCCTGCGGATCCCGGGAGCTGCCCCACCCCTGGCGAGCGAGAGGGGGCGGGTGTGGGTGACCGTCCTCGCAGGCTCCTCAGGGCCACACCGAGCGCTGCTCTCCCTGAGGGGCGGACCCTGCCTCCCCCCCTCCGCCCCCGGCCAGGGCAGCTCCTCTTCCCACAGGGGACCGGGACGTCCCCGCGTGGCTGACAGGTAAGCGTCGGCAGCGAGGACGCGGCTCTGGGCTGGATTTCGGGAGGCCGGGGCGGGGGCGGGGCACTTCTCAAGCCAGGAGAACCAAACACAGAACGGGGTGCACCGTCACCGGGGACCTGGCGACGCCTGTGGCAGGACGAGGGTTCAGTGCAGGGTGGGCCCAACACGCACGTGCACATTGGGAGGGGCCGCGGCCGCCGCTGTCAGGGCCGAGAGGCTGAGGGTCGTGGGCACCGCCGTCCGCCCAGGTTCAGCACCGGCTGCCTCGGTCTCACACGGGGAGCGCAGCTCGGTGCCGGGAGCCAAGACTCGCCCTTTCAGGAGTCGGAGGCCTTGCAGAGCCCTGTGCCGGCCCTGGAGCGGGGACCCTCACGGGCACACGCTTCCCTTTCAGAAGCCAGTGGGGAGAAGGGCCGCGGAGCGGGGGGCAGGAGACCCCCGCTGTGCGAGGGAGCACAGCCTGCCGACGAGGCTGCCGGCCAGGCGGGGACCGCGCCGGCCCACGGGGCCTGTCCGGTCTCCCTGGTCACCAGGCTCCCCCGGGGGCACCCTGGGCCTGGCAGCCCCATGCAGGGTGGCTGGCAGGGCGTCTCGTCATCCTGCTGACCGCCGGCGTGTGTAGCCGGGCGGTGGGACCTGCCTGAGAAACTGCAGTGCTCAGCGAGGCCCCGGCTGGCCCCACTGCGCCGGGGCACAGCGGCGCCCGACCCTGGGCCCGGCACGTGGCCGCCCGGCTGTGGGCCCCACGGGAGAAGTTTGTTTGCGCACAGGCATCGTTCAAGACGACGGAGACGTTCCCGAGAGGCCGTCTCAGTCCTTCCTGAAACCAGAGCAAACCCTTTATTTTCAACAGAACTGCCCAGAGAGCCGGTCCGTGGGTCTCCAGGGGAGTCTCTGACCACACACAGCACCAAAATATATATCTGGGGAGTTAAAAACACACCGCCCGTCCCTCGCGCACACACGTGCCCCCAGAGCCACGCGGCCCGGCCCCTCGCACCCAGGGCTCTGGGCCGGGCCTCCCAGGGCCACAGTCTCTGCCATGGAGATTGAAGACCCGCGGACCGGGGAGCGCTGCTGCTCGCGGAGACCCCACGGAGGGCAGGACAGCGGCCGAGCTTCTCGGGGGCTCTGGGGCCGGGGGTCACTGGTCTCCCCGCAGTGCAGTGCAGCGCAGCAGCCGGGGGAGGGGGGCTGCCGCCGCCCCAGCACACTGCCTGCGGCCGGCACCCGCCTCCGAGGACCAGTCTCTCGCCGCGCCGTCTGGCGTTTCCGGGGGCTGTTCTTCCCGTAGAAGAGGGGCCGGGGGAGCGGAAAGTGAGGGGTCTCTGCCGCAGGAAAGCGCCCCGGCCCCGGCCCAGCCCGTCCTGGGCGGCGCCCCGGGCGCACAGGCCTACTTGGGCTCCTCGATGACGCCTTTGCTGAGGTCCGTCATCTTGGGGTACTTCACCTTCTTCTGGTCCAGCTCGTTCTGGGCCCAAAGGAGGAGCTTCAGCAGCTTCGCCAGCTTGGGCGTCGACTCGCGGTTCTCGTAGTCCAGGACGGCCTGGTTGACCTCGCTCCACACCTGGGGGCACGGGCAGACGGTGAGATGCCACGCACAGGGGTCGGGGGGGGCCATGCAGGGAGCCCGTTGTCCTGAGACGCGTGAGAGCCCCCACTCCTGCCCGGAAGAAGCCCACGGCCTGCGGCGAACGCCACACCTGGCCCGGACGGCAGTGCAGGCTGAGCACCCGGAGGCAGGACAGAGCAGAGCAGGGGGACGGGCTCCGTCCCCCAAAGCCTCGAGGGGACCCGCCGAGGCCAGAAGGACGGGGGTGGGGCGGGGGGTAAGGGGGGGACAGGGAGCTGGGCCGGGGGAGGGGGCCGCCGGCCTGCCAGCGGGGACACAGGACCGGCAGCGAGGGCGGGTGGTTCAGGAGCGAGTCCGGGGGAGTAAATAACAGCACCCCCAGGGCCCCTGTTTGATTCCAGGAGTCTCCCCGAAGCAGGAGGACGGGGGAGGGAGGTGGGGAGGACCCGCAGGGGCTCACTCCCGGCTCAGCCCCGGCCAGCGGGGGCTCGGCCGCGCAGGCCCACCCTCCACTCGGGTTTTCTCGACCCGCACAGGCAGCCCTTCACACCCCGGGCCCCCGCCTGCCCCACGGCCCACCCAAGGCCAGCACCCCCCAACCTTCTGCCGCTGCATGGTGTTCAGGAGGTCCCCGAAGGGCGAGTCCTCGGGGCTGTCGAAGGCCAGCAGGGCCAGCGTGCGCTCCATCTCCGTCAGGCACTCCCGGCTCTCCTCCCCCTGCTCGGCCAGCTGCGTCTGCGCGAACTCCAGCGCCGCCTCCGTCTCGCGCTGGCGGATCAGCTCGATCAGGTGCTGCTGCTGCGCGGGGCAAGGGCGAGGGGCGCAGGCTCAGTCGGCCGGCCGTGCGCAGAGACACCCACCGGGACGCTCTCCGGGCTGCCGGCGGCACGGCGGCTCCGGCTCAGACTGACGCGCTTCCCTCCCCCCAGAGGGAGACGCCACTCTGCCCACGGGCTGCCCGTCACTCCCGAGTCTACACGCCACCGCCCGGCCCGCACGGCGGCCGCCCCGCCCCTACCTGCAGGTGGAAGTGCAGGTAGCGGTTGGTGTCCAGCAGCTCGGGGTGCAGGCTGTTGATGAGGGCGATGGCCTCCTGGATCCGCCCCTTCAGGATCATCTCGCGGATCTTGATGCGCTCGTCCAGGGTGTCCAGGTCCACGCTGGGCTCGATCCCGGACTCCACCCGGAACTTCTCTGCGGCCTCCTTGAAGCCCTCTGGGCGCGAGAGCCGGCTCCCGTCAGTGCCCTGGGCGGCGGCTCGGGTCCTACGCAGCCCCCGCGCCACCCGAGGTCCGCCTGCCCGGAGCAGACGGCCCGCGGGCACCGCACCTCCTCAGGGGCGGGCGTCAGCGCCTCTGCCCTCGAGGTGCAGGAGAGGAAGCCCCGAGGGAGGCTGGGGCCCCGGGCAGCCGCGGGGCCTCGAGGACCTGCCCACGCCCTCCTCCCCGGGAGCCCGCAGCCCCCCCATCGAAGCACCGTGTGCCCTTCTTCACCCCCCACCCACAGCCACCACCTCACGTTCCCTCCTCACCGGTCAAAAATAAACCTTGACAGAGACTGGCAAGTGGGGGGAAGGGAAGGAGACGTGTCCCTTCTGGAGACGTCTGGGCGTCGCGCTGCGTGCACAGCCCCTGTCCTTCCCACCGTGACGGGGGCTGGGTGTCAGCTACCGGCCCCTGCGCCTCCCCCCACGCTCTGTCCGGCCCGCTCCTCCCCCGAGCTCAGCGGAGCCCTGCAGGACGGCCTGCGAGCGCGCGCCGGGCCGGCCGGGAGAGTGCCGGCACGTTCTCCGAGATCGTGGCTGGCTGCAGACGCGTCAGAAGCCCAGGTCTCGGGGCCCGGGGACAGTGGCCTGCTCCCCAGGAGGGGGGACCTTCGACGTGACTTCGGAGCCAGGACCGACCGCACCGCGCACGCGCTCAGTGGGGAGCTCGCAGCGCCCGACCGCAGGCGCCGCCTGGGCCCGGGCGGTTACCTGTGACCAGGTAGTTCATGATGAGGCGGTTCATGTCCGCGCGCTGCACGTGCAAGTTGTTGAGCTTCTCCATCCACTCGTCTTTGGTGATCTCGTCGGGCTTCTCCGTGTAGCTCATCCTGGCTCGCCCCTACGGGACGGGGACGGAGACGCGTGAGGAAGCGGGGAGCGCTCCCGCCGCCAAGACCCTCCGGGGACACACGCGGCGCGGCGGCAGCGAGGACAGAGGGCGGGACGGCTCCGGACACCTGGGGCAGGGCCTGCCGCCTGGCAGAGGGCCGGGCGGCCACCTGGTGGGAAGGAGGGGTTGACACAGATGCCCCCTGGGCGCCGCCATGGCAGCGCTGGAGGGGTGAGCCGAGAGGTGCCACCCCCGTGATACGGGCCCGGAGCTGCCGGCACTGTCTCCGCAGCCCCCGGGGGCACCCACTCGGGGCCAACAGCCCACAGCACCACCCCCGCCAGGCGGAGACCCCGAAACTCTCCCACCGCCGGGCAGGCGAGCCTGTTTGCAGAAGCTCCGTTCACGACGGGGGGCGTGCAGGCCCCTGGCCAGACGTCCGCCCTACAGCCGCACGGCGCATGGCCGGGGCGGGTGCGCGCCAGAACCCAGAGCTCTCCAGGTCACGGCCCCGCACAGCCCACACCGCGGTACTCGGCGTCCCCTCGGGGTCTGGGCAGCGCCTGTAACCCAGTCTCAGCTCAGGCTTCGCCGCCAGACAGGTTAAAAACACGCTCCGTTTTCACAGCCATTCGGATGTCAGGCCGCTGAGAGGGGTTGGGAGTGAGTGTTCACGCGGCAGAACACGCCAGAGCAGTCACAACCCAGGAGCACAGCCACGGGGACGCCTCTCAGACACCGGCTGCGGGTACGGCCAGCCGCAGCAGAGGCCCGAGCGCCTGGGCAGGCGGCTTGGTCGAGAACAAAACAAGGGAAGAGGGCAGACTCCACGCAAAGTCTGGAAGTGCACACACACGAGACGGGGAACTCGGGAGGTGCCACCGAGGAAGCAGGGGCAGGCAGGGCCAGCCCACCGCGGTCCACGTGGTTTAGTTTTATCCCTGTCACCGACATGCACGTGAGGGACGAACACCGGAGCAGGAGGACCAGCCCGGAGCCACCAGACAAGAGGGGCCCGGGTGGCAGAGTGGGCCCAGCGGCTGGACCAAGCACGCGGGGACCGGAGGACAAATGCATGGTTCGAGCCGAGCCGAGCCCGTGAAGGCCGGGCCACAGGCGAGAGGGCAGCACTGAGACAGGAACAGGTTTGGGGAGCAGGGCCAGTCTGGGCTGCCCGACAGGGCGCAGCGGAAGTCTAGCAGGCACCTGGGCCATAGGCGGCGGGCTCCGCGCTGGGCACGTCCATCAGGAAAACCTAGGCACGGGCAGCCAAGAGTCCGGCGCGGATCGCGCAGGGAGAGGGTGGGGAGGGGAGCGGAGGGGAGCGGAGGGGAGCAAGGCAAAGTCCTGGGCTCCTGGGAGACGCGGACCCTCGCGGCGCAGCACAGGACGACCCGCACCTAACACACAACCAAGAGGCGCCGTTCCGCCAACACACACCCATCCCCCGGGGCCGCTGCCAACTGCGCAACTCAGACCAGAGAAAGGCTCCATCCCACACGGGACAAGACGGCAACTTTCCTGCGCCCCCGTGGGGCCGCTCCACCGGCTGCACCACCGCAGGGCGGCGAGGGCGACTTTCGGAAGCGACCACTCGGGAGAAGTCCGCGGTCCCAGCCCCGAGGAGGCGCGCCCCTTCCCAAGCGGCAGCCTCCGTCCTCGCCAGGTCGGTTCTGCTGGAAGCAGTTGTCCTAGCAGCCGACCTTTGGGCTGACACACGTGCGCGTCTCAGTGCTCCGGTTCGCGACCACTTCCGAGCGCAGAGCCGCCCCTGGCGACGATGCCCCGGCGGGGACCGCTGCGCCCGGCACCGCTTCGGCCAGGAGCAACGCGCAGTCTGACTCGCGAAGTCGGGGAGCGCTTCAGCCCCCCGAGAACAAGCCCCGACCACACAGACATCTGCTCGGACCTGCGACCCCCTGAGAACCGGCGCGGGTCCGGCCCCCTCCCGGCCCCACCGCGCTCCCGCTCCCGCTCGGCCCGATCGCCTGGGCCCGCCGCGGCCATCTTACCGTGCGGATCCCGCCTCCCGCGCTACGCAGTCTCCGCGGCCGCTCGGGGGGCCGGGCCGGGCGGGGAGGGGGCACGAAGGCGCCGGGCAGGGAGAAGCGGAGGCGAGAGCCGCGGCAAAAGCGAGGGCGGGGAACCGGAGGGCCGACGCACCGGCGGCCGCCCCCTCAGTCTCTTCCCGCGAGATTGAGAGATCACGAGCCGTCAGCCAATCAGGAGCTCCTGCGAGGGGGCCGTACCCGGCGACCGCCCGGAAGCGCGGCACTGAAGCTTCCGTCCTTGCGCAGAACGCCCTTTGCTGGCCCGCACTCTACGGGTTGGCGCGAGAGTCAAAAAGCTTCGTCCGTCTCCGCGCTAGATAGTTGCCGTGGCGGCGTCTTTGTGGGGGGACTTCGCGCTGGGAATGCGGCAGCTAGATTGAGCCCGAGGCGAAGGCCCCTGCGTCCCTTCCGTCATTTGTGTGAGCCCAGAGGGCACTGGGCGGGGGCGGGGGCCTGGCGCCGGGGCTCCGCGCAGCCCCGAGGCACCGGCCGGGGAGGACTCGCCCGAGCGTGGCCGGCAGGAACGCCCGGTTCCGTGGGTGGGGCGGCCCGGGTGGACGCGGCGGTGCGCGGACCCCCAGGCAGGCTTGGCGCGTCGCAGCCCGTCTGCTCGAGAAGCGGGCAGACCCCGAGCCGGGCCCGGGCTCCCCGTCCCCGCAGAGGGGGGTGGAGCGATCTCGAGCGCTTCCGGGTCAGTGGAGGGCGGCCCGCTTCGGGACCCTTGGGAATCCGACGGGTCCCCGAGTTCGCAGTCAGGGGTCCGGGGCTCGGCGCGGGTGCTCGCAGGGACGCTGGGCGCCCAGGTGGGGCCGACTCCTCGCGGAGAGCCCGACTCGGCAGATAGGTTCGACCGCGACAGCAGGTCCCACGAGTGGCGTGAGCGAACCTGCGGGACACAGGCCTGTTTAAGACGCAGGTGCACCTGCTCCTCCGTCCTTAACCCTCGGCCACGACTTAGTCCTGTGACCAGTGCTAGGCGTGCACCGAGCGGCGCGCAGAGTTTCACTGTAGTTGCTAACGCCAGCGTCCTCTGCCCAGAGGACGCGGCCCGTCCTGGGCCGATGAGGCTCCAGCCGCGGGTCCCAGGCGCTCGGTCCCTCCCCCGGCCGCCAACTGGCGGCTGAGCCAGCAGATTCTGTCCCCACCCTGGCTGCTGTTCCACGCCCAGGGGACCCGCCGGCTGCCAGCTGACGCCCGCCCAGCAGGCCGCGCGGTCTCCGTGCCCCTGCCCCGTGCACATCCCTCGGAGACGCCGCCTTGCCGCTGCAAAGCACGCACAGCTGAGCGCTCGCTGCCCCTGCCCTCGGCCTCTGCTGCAGCCGCGCCCCCACCAGCTGCGCTCCTGTGTAGCTTGCTCCTGGGCTTGCGGAGGACGTCCCCGAGCAGAGCGGGGAGTCGTGTCCCCCCGTGTTCACGTGGTACTCACAGTCTCCCTGTGTGGCACCCCATTCTGTCACCGTCCCCTGATGGCACGTTGTGATTCACCGCGAGTGCAGGCTTCCCCGCATGGAAGTGTCCAGCAAGTGGCGGGGTTCCCCAGCTACCTGTTGGGAGGGCGGATTGAGCGGGACCCCAGGACCTTCCGCCTTCCCGAGGTGCGGCAGGGCACAAGGTCACCAGGGCCTGCGCTCAGCGGTGCCACAGGCAGCAAGGCAGCGCCCAGTGTGGTGTTCACCAAAAACGAGCCCCTCGGCAGCTGCCAATGACAAGTGCGGTGGCCCGGTGGGCACCGGACCCGGGGGGGGGGGGAGTGAGCTGAGGGGGGGTGAGGGGAGACAGCCTACGTGCAGAGCGCTCTCAGGAGTGAGTTGGCCCCGCAGCAGGGGTGCGGCAAGTGGAGGCGGAGCGGGAGGTGGGCACCGCTAGGCCGGCCTGCCTGCCCTGCCCCTTGGAGAGCTCACGGCGGGGCGAAGGGGCCAGAGCCTGCAGAAGCTGGCGTTGAGCAGGGGGCCTGGGGCCCACGGGGAGGTGGGTGGGTGCAGGGCTGTACTGGTCGTCCTCTGGGGCAGTGACCAGGCCGACCCAGGTTTCGGCCCGGCGGGACCACTGCCCGGCGAGCTGCTTGGTGGGAGGGAGGTGGGCTTGTGGAGGGGGAGCCAGGGGCTCTTCGAGCTCGGTGGAGTCTCCCCTGGGCAGATTGGCCGTCCTCTACAGGGAGGTCCTGACGGTTTATTGGTTTTAAGAGCGTTAAAGAGCTTTTCAAAGGGGGAAGTAACTTGAGAATAAAGTGCGGGCTGCGTCCTTTCCTCCAGCCCCGGCTGTGCGGAACTGCCAGGTTTCCCACAGCCGCAGCGTTCCTGTGGCTGCTTCAGCCCCGCCCTCACAGCCCGAAAGCACGATCGAGACCCCCGCACTAGACCCCCGCACGCCGAGCGCTGCGGCTCTCCCGGGGCAGCCGCTCCGCCGCGGCCACCAGGCGGCGGTAGACGCCCAGAGTGCGTTCTGCTGCTGGCGGGTTGTGTGCGCCGAAGCCCTGCAGCTCAGCGGCGCGGAGACCCGGAGGCCCGGCGGCGGTGGGGGTGGTGGGGCGTTCTCCCGCCTTCCCCCGCCCTCCCGTATCCTCACCTGCTCGCGCTGCCGGTGATGCTGCCGCCACTCCGTCCCAGGCACTGGTCACGTCCTCCGTTCTCTCCCTGAGTAACGCAACGGTGACGTTTCTCCTGATGCCCTTTTTAATGCTCAACCCCTGCTGAGGCTGTAACGTAAACTGTGTCCAGCACAGCGCCACCCAAAACGGGGCGGGGGGGGTGGCCTGGGGTGGGGCGGGCAGCCCTGCACCACCCCTGGGTGACACTCGGCATTTGACTTGTCCGGTCCCGGTTCTGTGCCGGCTCTTACGGAGCTGGCTGTGCCCTTCAGACCTGGCTGGTCCAGGGTTTGAGATTCACAGACTGGTTTGGGAGTTGACGGTTCTCTCCTATTTTTTCAATTTAAATTAAAAGACAGACAGATGTGTGTACGTACAAACACGCATAACATACATGGTCACTGGCCACGTCTGTCTCTGCGCTAAGGGTGCTGGTTGTGTGCCCCCCGACCCCCGACCCAGATGGAGCCAGGGTTTGGGTCAGAGGCAGAGGCGCCGGATGGAGGTGAGACGGTGTCCGGTTAGCGTCCCTGTTTTCCTGTTTAAAACACGCCGGCAGAGCAGCCCTTTTGACTGTGAAATCCTCTCACGGCCGCGCTTCACGGGCTCGCCTGTGTCGGCGCGAGAGGCAGCCGGCGTGTGAGGACCCCCGGGGTTCTCCCTCCTCTGCACGGCCACGGGGGGCGGCGGCCTGGCCTCCCGCCTGTGCGGACAGATCTGGGGCCCGTGGGTCTCCTCGGCCTCCTGAATTCAGAAGCAGTCGGCTGGACTTGGAACTCTAACCCCGTTGCCGTGGGAGGAACCGTACAGGTGCCGGTGCAGACTGCAGCTGCTCCAGTGCAGACAGAAGACCTTCTGAGATTCCTGGCAGCTCAGCCCTCCCCGTTCTGTCCTGTTGGGGAGCCAGCGGGGCCCGAGCTGGGGTGCACTGATACAATGTTTCCACTCTGAACAAGTAAATCCCAAAGGCCCCTGAGATAACCGGACTCCTCACTTTCATCATATTTTCATTTTGGGGGAAAAAAACCCTTCCAATTGTAGCCTGTCCAGTTGCAGCTGCAGCGGGAGGCCGGGCTGATGGGCAGAAGACGGGAACTGCCTCATCGGAGCAGCTGCCCCTCACCCCAGGCCCGGGAGGGTCCCAGCCTTCCCATGGGCAGCCCCCTTCCTCCACGACACACCTGAGAGCCCAGAGGCACCTGGAGGCATCCTCGCCTTGCTCGCAAAGGGCCTCTCCTCCCCAGCCGCCGCCTCCGTCGCGCCCTCTCCCAGACGGCTCGGGTGCAGGCCGTCAGAGGGCGTGCAGTTCTCAGGGATTCCTCCCGAGGCTGACCGACTGGTCACCGAGCTCACGGGGACACTTGGGCATCTATCTCAGAGGCGGAGGCCAGCGCCATTCTGTAGGCGCCTGGCCCCGGACCGGAGCTGGGTCCGGGCCCCGCCCAGAGGGAAGGGTTGCTGCTTCAGCTCAGCCTTTCCGTCGGAGGGCCTCCGGAACGGCGCAGGGGCAGGCTGGCGGCTCCTGCTGCTCCCAGAGGGGCCTGCGCCTGCTGCGGTCTCCCATGTTCGGGCGAGACGCGGCCCGACGCACAGCTGCCATCGGTGCGGGAAAGTCAGCGGGCGAGAACACGGGTGCCCCCCTCGCCTCGTCTTTCAGGGTTGCTGGCCCCCTGGCCCGGAAGCCCACAGCTCGGCCTCCGGGTCCGCAGCGTCGGACACACACTTCAGCTCCATCCACCTTCCTCCTCACGCCTTTGTTTTCCTCTGGCTTCCCTGCCACCCTCGCCCCTCGGGAGGTCTGCTCCCTAGGTGGGGGTGGGGCGGGGGTGGGGGTGGTCTCGGAACAGCCGCTCCCTGCAGCGATGGGGTGCCGCGGCGGGGCTCGGCCCTTCGCGTGGGGGAAGCAGTCCTCAGTTTGATTGCAACCTTGCAGCAGCTAAACAGAAGTTTACTTCAAACAAAGTTTACTGTAAGCTTTTATTTATTTTTTAAGTTTTTATTTTAGAGAGAGGGAGGGAGGCCAGGAGAAAGAGGGAGAGACACATCAACGTGTGGTTGCCTCTTGGGCGCCCCCAACTGAGGACCTGGCCCGCAACCTGGGCAGGTGCCCTGACTGGGAGTCAAACCGGCGACACTTTGGTTTGCAGGCCCGCCCTCAATCCACTGAGCCACCCCAGCCAGGGCCTGAAAGGCTTTTTTTAAAAAAAGGGTTTATCAGGCCATTGGTAGCCAAAAAAGACAGCTGGTCTCGGGGCAGGGAGTCCGAGCCGCCTGCAACCCGGCTGAGAGGAAAGGAAGGACACCCCTGTCTGTGGAGGTTTTGGGGTTTTCTGCTGGCGTTTTTATGCATTGGGGTGGGGGCGGGGGATTGTGAGCCTCTGATCGGATTTGCAGTACCTTCGGACAGTGGAGGGGGTGGGGGTGCTTCTGGGATCAGCCTGGGCTGCGGACTCGGGAATTCAGGTGCAAATCAGGAGGGAAGGCTCCTGGGGCTCCCTGGGGGCTGACCGTCCCGCGTCCCGTCCCTCCGTTGGCTGATCTGGGAAGTGGCCGCCTGAAAGCCACCCCCAGGCCCCACGGCTGCTCGGGTCTCGTCCGAGCCGGCCCGCAGCTCGTTAGCCGGCCTCGCGCACCGCGTGGAGGGGCGGGAATAGGTCCTTAGAAACACTGTCGTTGGGCTCTGGTGAGCTGTTAACACATCACCAGATTTATCTGTTCCTGGGAATTTAAGTTCCGTCGCCAGGGAATGGCAGGGGCGTGTTCTGTAAAAACCTTTTCACTCTCGTGTTTGATTCCCCAGGGGCTGAACCGCACAGCCTCCGGGTGCCGTGCACCCCGAGGCCCTGGGATAAGCTCCGTGGCAAAAGAGGGAGCATTGGGAACGGGAGGGGTGGGCGCACCCCGGGCAGCCCCAGGGGGAGTGGGAAGCCTGGGACCTGGCTCTCCACCGAGAGGAGCCGCTGCGGGCGGCCGGCCAGCCCTGCAGCCCACGGGCCCTGGGTCAAAGGGCGCTGGCAGCCTCGGCCATTCTGGAAGAATCGTGTGGGTTTTCCCAAACTGCGACGGAGGTCAGGGAGAAGGAGCGAAGGGGTCTGACCTTGGCCCTTCCCCTCCCCCTCATCCTGTTCCCCACCCCCTCTGCCCCTGGCCCGGCCTCCAGTCGGTGCCGCGCTGCTGCTCATTGTCCCTAAGTGAGAGTAACAATAAAACGACTTGTTGCTTCCTTGCTTGGTTTTAAATTGTCCTTGGAAAGGGCTGGAACCTCCCTGGGAGGGTCGGACCGGAGCACCCGGCCTCTCAAAGTTGCACTTGACCCCGAGGGTGCTCTGCTTTAGGGTTTTCATTCGGGGTCAGGGTGTTCTGCCCAGGACCCGGCTTTGCAGCAGGCTCTTACCCGGGGGCGGGAAGGGGCTGAACACCGGGAGGCGGTTTTTAAAGGACTGGGCCCTCGACCCTGAGAGTGGCATGGGGTGGGGGTGGCGGCCAATGGGAGTTTTTCCCAAAGATTCAAACCCACTGAGGCGGGGAAGCCTGTGGAGCTTTGTGCCCCCGCCCCAGGCCCTCTGAGCCACGGGGGCTTCGGGGTTCTGTGGCGCGATGCGGGTGTTCAAGGTAGAATTTGAGACAACTGGAGACTCCTTTAAATTCAGGTTCTCTATTCAGGCTCAGTGAGTTTGTTAGGAGGTAGAGTTCAACTGAAAAACACCCAACCCAAGTTTGAGATGTGCCTTTCTGCCCAGTGAGCGGCAGCTCCCAGGAGTGGCGCCCCGTGGGCGGGGGTCACCTGGAGAGGCCAGAGGGGAGGCCCCCTGGCCCCCACGGGAGGGGCGCCCTCAGCTCGCAGACCCCCAGCTGGCTCTTCTGGGGGATCCCAAGGGTGGGCCCCTTCAGGGCCCTGGGGGTCCTCGGGAACTGCAGTGTCCGTGGGAGCGGGGGCTTCCTGAGCTCGGTCTCCGCCCTGAGCCTCCTCACTCTGCACCCCTCCTGGGCACCGCCGGCCCTGTCCTCCCACCTCCCGCCTGCCTGAGGCCCCACCGGAGCCGCAGTCGTGGTCGCAGAGGGACGGTGCTGCTCACCTGGCCCCGTCAAGGACCCTCAGCCGAAGAGACGAGGCAGGCCTCCGTCCCCACGCCCCTCGCGGGGCCCTTTGTGGGGGGTGGCCGGCGAGCGGCCCCAGGGCCGCAGCACGTCCGCCCGAGTCACGGGCAGCGTGCATAGGTCCGCCGCCCTGCTTGTTCCAGCCAGTTCCAGCCCGTCTGCCTGGCCTCCGGCCGTCCCACTGCCCCGTCCAGGGCGGACCTGAGCACCGGGGCGGAAGAGTGTAGGGCCGGTCCCTGCGAAGCCATGAAGGTGGTCCCATGGGAACCCCACCGTGGACGCAAGCTGCCCCGCGTGCTTCTGCGGAGCACGGCAGGCCTGAGGTCTCCAGAGGCGTGCACCGACGGGCACCTCTGGCCTTGGCTGGGTGGCTCCGAGACTGGCGTGTCCTCCCAGGCACCATATGGTTGTGGGTTCGATCCCTGGTAGGGGCGAGTTCGGGAGGCAGCGGATGGATGCTCGTCCCCTCCCTCGTCTGTCTCAACCCACGAGCAGGTCCCCGAGGGGAGGACTCCAGAAAGCACCTGTACCGCGGTCCTGGTTTTTGCGCGGGGAAGCGCCTGGGAGACCTGAAGGGTCAGGGGCGCGCGCCGGCCGCACATAGGGCGTTTCTCTGCTTTCTGCTAAGGGGCTTCTACTTGCAAGAACAGGAAGCAGGTTTGTGGGGGCAAGTCATGGGGTCAGAGGCCAAGGGGTTACTGCCCTCGGGGCGAGTGTCCAGTGCCCAGGGCGCCTGAAGGAAGCAGAAGTTCCCCTGCGAGGTCGGCCGAGCGGGGCAGGCCGGCGCGGGGGCCTCGCGAGTCGGCGCCGATCCGATCCGCGAGGAGGCCGCACGTCTGCCGGAGCCCTTCGCCTTCCCGGACGGTGACCGCCTCGCCTCCCCTCCCCTCCGGCCCCTGTGGGCAGGTGCGCCCAAGCTGCTTGCGTTCGTGGGTGGGCCGCCGGGCGGGGCTCCTTCGCGCCGTGGGCTGGAGGGAAAGAGGCGCTGCGCCTCGCTGCTTTACCCTCAGAAGCCCGCCGACAGGAACCGGGCCACCGGCTGTTCCGCTGGCAGCCTCGGTCCCTGCCACTTGCGCCCCCCAGCTTAGGCCCCTGGGCTCGGCACATGGGGCGCATGCGCACGGGGTGGAGCCCGGGCCCGGCCTTTTCTGGTGGTTGCCGCACGGGGGCGCCGCTCACGGCGCGGGCGGCCCCTCTAGCTCCGCGGCATCTCGGTGGCGGGCGTGCTCCCTGCGAGCGGAGCGAGGGTGGGCCCTCTAGTCCCTGCGTCTCGGTGGCCCACGCCGACCCCGCCCGCGCGCTCGATCGCTCGATCGCTCCCCTGCTCGGTCGCTGGCTCGCTCCTTCTCCTGAGCCCGGAGGAAATGGCTGCAAGACTCTAGAGGCCTGGGAGTGGAGGTCAGTGGCGTTCGGGAGCCAGGCGGAGGGGCTGGCCGCCGCGGGCCGCACGCGGGCGCGGGCGGCAGGGCAGGGGCGGCGGCGCCCGGGCCCGGCCTGCCCAGAGCCGCGGCCTCGGCGCCGGGCCGCGCTCCCGCCGGAGAGAGAAGATGGCGGCGGCCGGGCTGCGGGGGAGGGGTCGGGCCCGCGGTGCGGGTGGGGGGCACGGGCCGCGGGCGGGCGCCCGGTCCGGCCACGGCGTCAGCGCCCTGACAGCCGGAGGCGCGGAGCGCCGCCCTGGCGCGCCGGGCCGACTCGTCGCCGAGAGGCCTGCGGCCCGCGCGGCCCTGGGACGGGTAGGATTGGCGTTCCCGGGCGGAGACCGTGCCCGGGACGTCTTGGGGACGCGGTTCCGCTCCAGGGCCGGTCCCAGCGTGCGTTCTCGCGGCGTCCGCGGGCCGGCCGGTTGTGACGGGGGCGACGCCTGCGAGGCGGCGCGGCGGGTGGGCCCCGGGAGGCCGGGCGGGCAGTGCGGGTGCCCCGGCGGTGGTGTGCCCTTCAGCCGGGCGTCTGGCGGCGGCGGGGTGCGGCGCCCCGTCGGGCTTTCGCCGGTGGGCCCTCCCGTCCGCCCCGTCCCTCCGTTCCCGCGCCCTCTGCTGCGGGCGGGGCCGCCAGGCGGCGGCGGCAGGTTGTCTGCCTGGAGTCTTGCCCCGGGCACTGGAGCGGGGAGGGGCGGCTCCGGGCGGCCGGGGTGCGGCGCCCCGACCTGCGCGGTGGCTGCTGGAGACGCCGAGCGCCGCCCGGGCCGGGGGTGACGAGGTCCCCGTCGGTGGCCCGCTGAGGGGTGAGGCCGGAGCCCCGTGCCCGGTGGCGCGGTGGGAGAGGGAAGGTGGGTGTCGGGGTCTCGAGGGCGCGTCCTCGGAATTTGCCCGCGGGGCCCCGCGGTGGCAGAGCCGCGCCGGGGAAGCGCTCCGCGGTTTTCCTGCGGCCTCGCTCCCGAGAACCGCGTGTTGGGCCCTGCGCTTCAGACACGACGGCCTGCGGCCTCCGGAACGAGCCCCCGGCCCCTGTGTGTTGTGTCCCGCGGGCGCGCGGTGGGGACGCGCGGGGTCGTCCGGCCCGCCCCGACCCTTTCTGCGCTCGGGCGGTGACTTCAGCCGCGGGGTCAGAAGCGGCGATGGGCGTCTTCCGTTTGCTTCCCGGTTTGAGGGCCTTTGCTTGGTAGCATCGGGCTCAATTCAGGCTGTTCTTGTGAGAAAGGGGGCAGGCACCAGGGGCGGGCGGCTGCTCCCCGCCTTCCTGTGGCCGGTGCCCGGGTCCCCCGGGTCTTCCCTGGCCGAGGCCGCGGTCGTGGCCGGAGCGGCCGGCGGCTGGCTGGGGCCGGGAGGTGAGGAGGTGCAGCCCTTGGGGGCAGCCCTGGTCCTGGGTTGGTCTTCGTGGGGACGAGTGGGCACCGGGGCCCCCAGTCCTCCCCGGCCGGGGGTCGGGGGTCCTGCTGTCGCCCCCAAAGCTTGTCTCCGCAGGCAGGTGGGCCTGGCCCCCCAGCAGCCCAGGGATTCTTCTTCCCGGTTGGGGCCTGCCCCATGGTCCAGGTCTCTGACCTTTTCTTTCTTTCCTTGAGATCTTACTCACTTCTTGGAAGGGAGAGAGAAAGAGGGGAGGTTAGTTTGTGAGAGAAACACCTGTCGGTTGCTTCTCATGCGCCCCCAGCCGGGAGCCCTGCCTGCAACCCAGGCACGCGCCCCGACTGGGGATCGAACCAGCGACCCTCTGGTTTGCAGGCTGGAGGTCAGTCCACGGAGCCACGCCAGCCAGGGTTTGACCCTCTGTGTGCTGCTGTCCACGGCACCAGGGACTCCGCTGGGCCCCCGTGGAGCGGAGACTGCTCTCGCCAGCTCGCTGTCGTCCATGGGTCGCCGTGCGCGGCCCGACCAGCCTCACGTGCGCACTCGCCTCGGCCGTCGGCTGCGGCCCCGGTCGGGGGCGTCTCCTGCTCAGGCCTCCATTCGCCCTCAGAGCAGCGACGTCCGGGGAGGCCGTCACCCGGGCTAGGGCAGGCGTTGGACGGGCGGCTGAGCGCCCGCGGCCCCGGCTGCAGGCGGGGCGTCCCCAGCCGGGGGCAGCGGCCGAGTGTGTCGTCTGTGAGGCGGGCGTTGTGGTCGTGCTTCCACGTGCTGACGGGCGCTGGTGTGGCCCTCTGCACGCCCTCGCACGCTCCACACACCCCGGGGAGGCTGGCCCTGCTGCGCCGTGCGTCACAGAGGTGACACTCGCGTGCAGCGTTACAACAACGCAAATGCTTGCGCAGAAGGCAGGAGCACCAGCCAGGGCACCTGCAGAAGCCCACGTCGCAGCCAGGTGCCCGTAGGGGGCGGCCTGGACGTGGGCCTGTGGCCAGGGTGGTTCGGGGAGGGTGGCTGATGAGGCTGACGCCTCTCCTCCCTCCACGCACCCGTTCCAGGGGCGCCGGGCTCCCCCGCCACAGCCTGGAAGCACGCTGGCACAGCGCTCCTCGGCCTCGCGTGCCAGTCTCCTGCTGGCGGGCGCCGGAGCCCTGGAGGCACCCCTGCCCTTTCCGGTTACCCGCCGGGGCGGGCGGGAGAGCCCGCGTGACCGTGGGGGAGGGCGAGGGGCTTGGAGGAAACGCTGGTGGGACGGGCGCCCCGAGGGGCCCCCCCGCCGCTCACCCGCATCGTCCGGGCTGTGCTCGCTGGTGCTGGCCACCCTCCCCACGCTCGCCCGCGGCTGGCGCTGCTGCCTGGTCTTGACTTGGTGACATTTCAGATGCCCTTTGGGGGGGCTGTGGGGTCACAATTGTCCCCGTTCCCCAGGCCAGAAAGTCACAGCCCAGAGAGGTGACCCGCTGTGAGGGCTGCAGCAGGGGTGGAGGCCGGGGTGTTCTGGGGTAAAGCCACTGGGCCCCTCCGCCCGCTCATCAGAGGACTCCGCCCACTTTGGGGGGCACGTTTTGGGGGGGCAGGACTCTCCCGGGTGCCATTGTCACGACGACCAGGGATGCTGAGTGGTCCCACCGAGGTGTCCCCGCCCCCCATGGAAGCGCAGGTCCAGGTAGCGCCTGGCCCTGGACGCCTGGGGGTGTGGGTGCAAATGGCGCCGTCTCCCTCTAGTTGAGCGACAGCCGCCCCCAGCAGCGCCAACAGGAGCGGGCAGTAGCCTGCGCGGGCCTGCTCGGACGCCCCGGGAAGCCCTGTCACCCCACTGCTGCCTGCGGAGTCTCAGCGGGGACCTTTCCCACTGCCCCACCCCAGAACCGGACGCGGACCTCTGCGGGCCCCGGGGGCGGAGGACCCCAGCGGAGACGCACCGTCCGCCGGGCTGGTCCCCAGGTCACGGAGCACAGCACCTGCAGGCCCGTGTCTCCTTTCCGGCCACGCTCGGGGCTCTGCGGGCCCGGGGCTGCCCCCGCCTCCTCGTCTGGGTGACGGCCCCCGAGGGTCAGGCCTGTGCTCAGGGGGAGCCCTCCCCAGGGGTCTGACGCCCGAGCCCCACACCCCGGGGAGCGCCCGCCACCCGGAGCGACGTCTGGTGGTGCCGCCCACGCTCGCTGACCGCGAACGGGACGCGCGCTTGCAGGTCACCACGGGTGCCTCTGGCAGGAAGCGTGTGCAGGACAGAACCGCTGGGTGAGAGGAGCGTTGTGTCCCGCGTGTGCGAATCTCTCTCGCGGCTGCTCCAGGGAAGAGGGCAGCGAGGCCCCAGAGCGGGCCGACGGCCTGACCTTGGGACCCGGGAAGGGCTGAGGGGCCACGCCTGGAGCCTCTGCTCCCACCGCCGCCGGGGAGGGCGGGGCCACCAGGTGGCCGGGCCCCGAGCCAGTCGGACGGGGCTCTTGGGGACGGCGGGCAGTGTCTTTGTGGTTCGTGATTGGCTTAACCAGACTTCTTTCCTCCCGCTCGCTCTTTGGGAAAAGGCTAGTTTGTGGTCACAGGTCAGCGTGTTTGGGGTACACCCTCTCCCCGAGTGGGCAGCCCCGTCGAGTGAGGCCGGGTGCCTGCTGGGCAGGGGCCAGGCCGTGCCGTGCAGCACGGTGCCGGCGGGGGCAGCGCTGAGACGGGTGTGGGACCTGCGGCGCCCCTGCTGCTGGCGTCCTCAGGGCACACCGCCGCCCACCTGCGCGGCTCCCGCTGCGGGCACACGGCGCAAGTGCCTGTGTCGGGGGCCGAGGTGTGGCACACGAATCTCCATGGGCGTGACCCCAGGGGACCACCCCAGGGTACAGGGGTCTCGGCAGTGCCCCTAGCTACCGGAGGGAGTCGGATTTTATTTATTTTAGAGAGATGGGAAGGGAGGGAGAAGGAGAGGAAGGGAAACATCCGTGTGTGGTTGCCTCTCAAGCGCCTCCTGCTGGGGACCCGGCCCGCAACCCAGGCGTGTGCCCACCTGGGAATGGAACCACCGGCCCTTTGGATCTCGGGCCGGCGCTCAGTCCGCTGAGCCACAGCAGCCGGGGCAGGATCGGGGTTTTTCATCAGGACCTGCAGGCTTGGGGAGCAGCCCCCGAAATGCCCAGCAGCGGTCACGGGCCCGTGGGCCCTGTGTCCTGGGAAGGGCCTGGGCACCGGGGTCTCCTGTGCCCCACCCTGAGAGCGCTCGTCGGGGCCGGCGAGGGGGGCTCTGTCCGGGGGTCCGGCCCCCGGCTGGCTGTCCTCAGGCACGCAGCGTAGCCACACTTGCCCCCCGTGGCGGGTTTTCTCGTGTGACCGAGAACCTGGGCCGGTCACAGGGTCGCCGAGACCCGGGGGTGGGGGCGGGGAAGCTGCATGCGCAGCGTTCGAGACCCCGCTTTCCTGTGCGCCGGGAGCGGCCGGGGGGCCCGCAGGGCGCAGGCACGACCCCGCTTCCTTCCCGCGGCTCCAGGCCCGAGACGGGGGGTGGGGGGGTGCGAGGGAGCCAGCTCCCCAGGTCCTGCTTTCAGGGCCTGGCCCCGTTCCCGGAGCTCCTCCCTTGTGACTGAGCCCCTCCTAGAGGCCCCCCGAGCGCCGCTGTGGGGGGTTCCACATGGGAGGTGGGGCACACATGCAGACCGCCACTGGAGCCCGTTGGGTGCAGAGGGTGCGGGGGACCGCGTGCCGGCGGGCCCACCGGGGGGGGGCCAGCCCCGCCCTGCAGAGCGTGCTGAGGGACGGGGTCGGCTGTCGTCGCCGCGCACCTGGGCAGCGGGGGCCGCACCCCGGGCTCCCCCCAGGCCCCGCGGGGTCCGCGCGGTGGGGCGCTCGGCTGCGTGGGACGGGCGCTCCGTGGCCCCAGCCCGACGGCTCGTGCGCTGCAGGCCGACGGTGGCCGCTGCTGGAGCCCGGGGTGCGGCCCTCTCCCGGCGCTGTCCCGAGGACGGGGCTCGCGGGGCTTGGCACGGCTGGGGACAGACTGCCTGTCAGTGGGGGCTGAGCTGTGACGGGCTTCCTCGGAGAAGTCCTTCCTCTTCCTTCCCTTTTGTGCAGCTCGAGGGACTGCTGGCTGGTGTCCCCGCGTCCCTCCTCGTCCACAGGAAAGGGGCGCCTACCGCCCGGCATGGGCACCACGCACCTCGGGGCGGCCGCCAGAGCCTCAGGCCGACTCGGTCACACTGGGCCTTCGGGGCGCGGGCTCTGGCTGGCAGGCCCCGGCCGTGTCAGAGGTCAAGTGGGGTGAGGGTTTGGGTTCACACAGAGCTGCGAGTGACCAGCTGGAGCTGCCCGGCTCGACCTCGCAACTGTCACACAGCCGGCGTCCGTGGGTTGCGTGTGAAGCGACACGTGGTGTGTGGGAGGGCACTTTCCGATTTGTTTGGAGAAAGGGGCTTGGGCAGCCCGGCACTGTGAGAGGCGGCGGGCGGGGGCCTCGGGGTGGCCTGCAGGCGCCGGTCTGGAGGGCAGCGCTCGGGTCCGCGGCGGGGGGCTGCACGTGGGAGCTGCCCGCACACCCAGAGCAGTGCCTCGTCCTGGGGCCGCGCGTCCCCAGGCGCCCTCTCCCGGACGGGGTGGGGGGCGAGGCTCGTCCTCTGTGGCCGTCGTCCGCCCTCCCCGCGGAGTGGGCCGGCGGGCGGGGCTGCTGCTTCCTGCAGCGTCCCCGACAGGGCAGCTGAGGGCTCGCCAGCTCCCGGATGAGCCCGGGCGGGAGCGGCCAGCGCCCGCACTGTGTCCTGGCGGCGGCGTTTCCTCGGAGCCGGGGCTCTGGGTCCGGCAGAGCCGTGGGCAGTGCCCGTGGCTTGCGCTCCAGTCTCAGCCCGCGGGTGAGCGAGCACCCGAGTGTCGGAGAGGTCGCCTCGGTAGTTGCGAGCCTTCTCCGCGGCTTCCCGGTGGCGGGTGAGGCTGTGTGAGGAGGCGGTGCTGGCGGCGCTGGGGGTCCTGTCCTCCTGGTCGTGCGGCGGCCGGTGCTGCGGGTGAGCCTCCTCGCGGCGCGGAGGGGGGGCGGGGATGCCCACCCGCCTGGGAAGCCCCGTGTGCACGCTGGCGGTGCTGCTCACTCCGCGGGGACCAGACTCCTGGGGCCCTGAGACCCCGAGGTCGGAGAGCCGCCTTCCGAGAGCCTTGGGGGCAGGGCGCACCCCTTGTCCTTGGGAGAGACCTGCCGTGGCGGTGGCGGTGGGGGCGCGGGTCTGTGACCGGCCCCCCCCTCCCCCCGAGGCCGGGGGCGCGGTGCCAGTTGCAGCCGTGCCGCTTCGGTCTCGCCTGCGTGAGCGGGCGTCCGGGCCGAGGAGGAGCCGGTGGGCAGGAGTCCGCTCCGCGGCCATCACGGCGTCCGGCCGAGGGGGCCGCGTCGTCGTCCGAAGCGACCGGACGGGTCTCGGACAGGCCCGTCCTCGCGCCGCCCCCGGCGGGAGTGACCCAGCTTCTCTGGAGCACTGTCCAGCACTCACGTCAGGTCAGACTCGGGTTCACCGCTCAGAGGAGCCTGGACTGGGCTTCCCTCCCCTGGACGCACGCCCCGCCCGCGCTGGGGGCCGTGAAGCGTGCGCGCGAGGCTTCCGTCCGGCCCCTTGGCAGGAGTCGGGCTGCCGGGGCGCTGGCTCCGCCCCCGTGAGCACCCGGGGGCCGTGACGCGGGCAGGTGGCCACTGTCGCTTTAAAGGGAGGGGCTTCAGAACGTTGGTCATTGTTCCGGGTCGCTCGGGAGACCGCAGTTGCGGAGGCAGTTGGAGTGGGAGGTGGGTCTGCGGGCCGGGCCCGGGGGGGGCCCGCCGACGGAGCCGTGTGCGGAGAGCGGGCGCCGCTGTCTGGCTCTGGAACGGGCAGGGAGGCGCGTGCCCCCCTGGAGGGGGCTCCCGGGGACCCGAGAGGGCGGGCGCTGAGGCCAGCCAGGCAGGGCCCTGGGGTGGGGGGTCGTGGGGGAGGGGTTTTCAGCGGGCGTGGGGCGGCGGGGGCCCAGGAGCGGGTTCCCAGCGTCGGGACGGCGGCGTTCGTCCGGTTTCGCTGCCCGGCCCTCTCACGCTCTGCACGAGCCGCTCTCGCGGGGGCCCCGTGCGGCTGGTCTGTCCCGCACCTGGGTCCCACCTCCCCGGACCCACGTGGTCGTGTGTTGGCGTGTTCACGTGGTCTGAGTCAGCGATTCAGGCGTGTAACCCCCCGCTCCCCTTCTTCCAGGAGCTCTGCAGGCACGGGCTCACGGCCACCTGCGTCGGCAGCGGCGAGCTGCGACTGTGGGGCGGTGCGTCGGCAGCCTGCTGTTGGCTCGGGCCCAGCGCCTGCCTCGGCCAGGCTCGTGTTGTGTTGAGGACTTCCGGAAAGTTCCAGGCTCTCGGTGTCTGGCAGGTAGGTGTCCCTGGTGGTAAGGAGCCTCAGCCAGACCTCGGGCGTCGGGGTGTCTGTTTTCCGGGTCTGGCGCGGCGCGCCGGAGGCGGCCTCGGCCTGGCCTGCACGTTCCCGGGCGCGTGGGAAGTGAGGCCGTGGGGATCGTCTGCTGCCCCTTCCCCAGACTCCCGTCTGTGGGCGCCCCGTCGAGGAAGGACTTGTCGGGGTTTCTGGCGGCCACACTGAGCACGCCGAAAGTGAAACAGACTCTGCAGACGAGACACGTTAGCTCGAGCTGGGGCGGGGAACGGTGTGATTCAGGGCGTTCGTCCTTCTGCCGGGGCCCGCGTCCTCTCTGGGGTGGGGCCCCTGCAGAGGAGAGCGCCCCCTGCAGACAGCCGCCCCCGCTGCAGGGCGCCAGCTCCCTCCCCAGCCCGCGGGGTCCCAGCCGCTCCGCAGGAGGCCTGCTGGCGTGGACCCCACGGGGGACCCCGAGCACCCCACGGGGGACCCCGAGCACGCCCCGGGAGACGGAGGGCTCAGCCCCCGCAGGCGGGCCGTCAGACTGGCTGGGAGCTCGCAGGAGCAGAAGCACTTGCTTCTCCTGAAAGTCCGAGTTCCAGGCCGAGGGGTCCGCAGTTTCATCGGCTCCCACCACGCACGCGTGGGAGGAGCACGGCCTTGCTGGGGTGGGGGGTGCAGCGCTGGGCTCTGCGGGGTAAAGCTTCCGGCCCCGTGAGGCCAGCACTGCCTCCTGGGTGCCAGCAGCGCGGGGTGCCCAGCCCAGGGTTGCCGGCCAGAGCACTCTGCTTTGGGGCCACCATGAGCCCCGGGTTAGTCCAGCTGTCACCTCAGGGACCAGAGACGGGGGTGGCACCCAGGCTGACGCCATGGCCGTTCCGGCAAGCTCCTGCGTGGTTGGGAGTGTGAGGCCAGGCTCCCCAGTGCAGGGCGCGGAGCCGGGCAGGAGGCGGGGGCAGGGGGGGTGCATGTGGTCCTGAGCCACATGCCCTCCGTGTCTCGAAGGTCTGCGCTCGGCACCAGCCCCCTGGGATGGAACGTGGCGCGGCGCCCGAGGCCCCGCTGGCGACTCCACGCGACTGAAGCTCGACAGCCTGGACAGGAGCTCTCCAGGTACACCTGCGCGTCCAGGCCGCCGCGCTCCAGGCGGCTCCCGCGTTCCGCAGACGCGGCCCCTCCCTGGTCTGTGGGGGGCGCGGGGGCGGGGGAGGAGTGGAGCGGAGAAACGCACCGGAGCCCCGGCCAAGCCTGGGAAGGGTCCCGGCTGCCTGCAGCTGCAGTGAGACCGCCTGCCCCAAACCCGTCCTCTCGTGTGCGAGGAGTCGGGACTCGGGGCGCAGCAGGACCCAGCCTGGCTGGGATGGGGGTCCCACACACCCTCTCCAGCCCGGCGGCTCCGGGCTCCGACCTGGGGCGGGACAGCCGGTCCTCGACCCCAGGCGAGAGTGCCGGCCAGCCGGCAGCCGACTCCGGTGCCCCGGAGCGAGCCCTGCCCCGGTCCTGTCCTTGCCCTGGGCCCGCGCCTCGCCTGGCGCCCCCTGCTGCCTCTTCCGTGGGCACTTGTCCGAAGCAGCCCAGTGGCACAGCTGTAGGTGTGTTGGCTGCTTCTTTCCACTCATTGAGAGATTTTATTTATTTTCAGAGGGGAAGGGAGGGAGAAGGAGTAGGAGAGAAACATCACTGTGTGGTCGCCTCTTGCACACTCCCTATGGGGGACCTGGCCCACAGCCCAGGCAAGTGCCCTGACTGGGAATCGAACCGGCGACCCTGTGGTTCACAGGCTGGTGCTCAATCCACTGAGCTGCACCAGCCAGGGCCGTTTTTCTTTTTTAATGTTCGATATGTAACAGTTAAGGTTCTCTTTGAGAGTCACCTTGCGTTATGTCCTGCAAAACACTTGAGGACATCCTGGTCACGGGCACTTGCCCCCAGGGGTGCCTTCACGGCCGGGGGGCAGGAGGGCGCTCCCGCGGCCCCCGCTCGGTGGCTCCCCGCGCCCCCGCTGCAGGCACAGCCTCGCTAACGCCGGTCGTGGTCTGGTTGCGTTTCCCCGTCAGGTATGGACGAGAAAGGTGGCCCGAGCAATGAGGAAGCCCCCAAGGTCATCAAACCCACCAGTAAAGAGTTTAGGAAAACGTGGGGGTTTCGGAGGACCACCATTGCCAAGCGAGAGGGCGCTGGGGACGCGGAGCCAGACTCTGTGGGCCAGCAGCCCCAGCAGCAGCAGCAGAGCCTTTCCTTGCGACGCAGCGGGCGCCAGCCGAAGCGGACCGAGCGGGTGGAGGAGTTCCTCACGACGGTCCGCCGCAGAGGGAGGAGGACTCTGCCCGTGTCGCCCGAGGACCCCGGCGAGCCCGCCTCCGGCCCGGCCACAGATGCAGAAACCGCCTCGGAGGGGAGCGTGGAGAGCACCTCTGACGGCAGAGGTGGGCCCGGGGCCAGCCCCGCGGGCAGCAAGGAGCGCCTGGCCGCGAAGGCCGAGGGAGGTGACAGCGAGGACGACACTTCGGACAGCGACAGCGATGGGTTGACCCTGAAAGAACTTCAGAACCGCCTGCGGAGGAAGCGAGAGCAAGAGCCAGCCGACCGGCCCCCGAGAGGCGCCCTGAGTCGCCTGAGGAAGAAGCGTCGGGAGGAGGGCCCGGCGGGGGCGGCCGGCATGGAGGCGGCCGACGCGGGGGACAGCTCCCCGCCGGGCCCGCAGGAGCCCGCGGCCGGCCAGGCCGCGAGCGACGGCCGAGAGAGGGTGTCGGAGGGGCGTGCGGCCCCGGGGGAAGGCCCCAGAGGCTCGGGCCGGCACAAGCCCGAGGGCGAGGCGTACGACCCCAGCGCGCTGTACTGCATGTGCCGGCAGCCCCACAACAACAGGTGCGTCCTGGGCGGGGGGCTGCGGGCGGCCCGGGGGGGCGGGCCCTCGTGCGGAAGGCGGCGGAGAGGCCTCCGTCCGGTGTCACAGCGGCAGAGCCGGGCTGGGCGAGCAGCCTGTGCGGTCACAGACGCGGGCGAGGTGTCCTTCAGAAGGGCCGTGGGGCCGCACACCGCACTGTGGTTGCCACCGGCCCTGCGGGGCTCCTCGCCACGTCGGTCTCTGCAGCCCCGGGTGGCCCGTGGCTGGCGTGGGGGGTGGCAGACTGGGTCGCTGCTGTCATCCCAGAGGTCTCGGGGCACTGCCCTGGTGCCGTTCAGGGGCGGGGGCCAGGGCCGGGTCCACCGGCGGGGAGAAGGGCACTTGCTCTTTCGCAGAGACGAACCGGAGCAGTGGGGGCCGGGGGCCGGGAGGGAGGCCTGCAGCTCGCTCGGAAGGCCCCGCGCAGACGCGGGGAGCACACTTGCTGCCGTGCTGGGGGCGGGGTGGGCCCCGCCCTCCTGTCCCCCCCTTGTCTGTGCGAGTGCGTGCCTTTAGTAGGGCCGGGGCGGACTTGGGTCATGGGTGATGCGTGGTGAGCTGGTGTGTGCTGGCACATTGATGGTGCGTGCCAGTGCATTTGTCACACATGCTAGTGCATTGGCCATACTTGCTCGTGTGTTGGTACATGCTGTAATTGATGGTGCATGCTAGCACTCTGGTGGTGCACACTAGTGTGTTGATAGCATGTGCTGGGACATGGATGACAACATGCTGGAACATTGATAGCACATGATAGCATGTTGGTGATATGGGGTGACACATGCCAGTGCACAGGTATGTGCTAGTATGTCACTACATGCTAGTACATTGATCATGCATGCTGACACATTGATCACTTGCTCCTGCATGGGCAGTATGTAGCAGTGTGTTGGTGGTACAATGATAGTACATGTCAGTACGCTGGTGACACCTGATGGTGTAATAGTACACGTTAGTGCATTGATCACACACGCTAGTGTGTTGATGGTGCGCGCTGGTACATTGATGGCACGTGAGGGTGCGTGATAGTGCTAGTACGTGGGTGGTGCACACTAGGACATTGTTCATAGGTGCTGACACATTGGCACACGTGCTA